TTTTTTTGTGGAATCCTTTATGCGGCCCAGCCTCACCCAGACTCTGCCTCCAGCGGCCCCCAGGTAAATTGAGTTTGAGACCCCTGATCTATAGGGATCTGTCTGTGGGAACGTTCTCAAGATAATATAATTTTCAGCTATTAAGTTTTATATAAACTGGTTGTTGCAATCTTTGTCAAGAAAATAACATTTTTCCAAATGTTATCAGTGCAGTATCCATCCATCCATCCATCCATCTTGTATATATATATCTATATATAAACGGTGTTTTGTCCATCACAGAGCAGTGACATGTTCACTTGATCACACAGCACTTATGTCATCAGTGAAGGTCACATTGTGTCTGTTGGATTACATCATTTAGTTTCTAAAGGATTGTGTAAATAACTCCACAAACGTAAAGCTCAGATGACTGAACTATGTTAATGTCAACAAACTGTTAGAGAAACGTCCTGCCATGTTCTTGACGTGATCACGTGTTTATTTACACGTTAACTGAGGTCTGATCGTTCGCGGTGAGTTTTACTGCTGGGTGTGAACAAGATTATGGTTTCTGCAACAGCTGGACACATCAACTGGATAGATTTCCTGCACGCTCAGACTAACCCCCGCTGCCCTCTCGTCTGATCAAATTGTGCACGTGTCCAGTATTTAGTTTTTCTCAGAAGCAGCCTGCCTTCCAGGATTAGATTTATGTTGCAGAAAATACTTTTTAAGACATTTATAAATTGGTTCTTGCTGTGAAAAAATTGTCATGTTTACCTTGTGGGCAGCACGGTGGTTCAGTTGATGGGACTGTTGCGCCTCAGCGAGAAGGTCGTTGAATCAAATCCTGGACGGGAGCTTTTCTGGGTGGAGTTTGCATATTATCTTCCTGCATGCATGGGTTTGCTCCGGATTCCTCCCACAGACCAAAAACATGCATGTTAGGCTGATTGGTAACTCTAAAATGTCCCTAGGTGAGAGGGAGAGTGAATGGTTGTTTGTCTCTATGTGTCCCTGTGATGGACTGGAGACCCGTCCAGGGTGTTCCCCGCCCCTCGCACAGTGATTGATGGACATGGGCACCGGCAACCCCTGTGACCCAAAATGGAACAAGCGGGTAAAGATAATGGATGGATGGATGAAATGGCTCACCATATAATTATTCCAATTTAATCTTCCAACATTAATCTGACACATCTTTATTATGTTGACTGTTGTTCAAGTTGTTAAAAAGTGTGTAACTTTAACTGCAGAAAGAAGAAACAGGAAGAGGAGGAAGCAGAACAGAAGAGGAAAGCCACAGAGGCTGCATATCAAGGTAGGTCCAAGAGCCTTTAATTATTTTAATACTTACACCCCCTCTATAAGTGCTGGAACACGGAGGCCAATTCATTTACTTTTACAAAAGGCAGAAAAGAGGAATACCACACAGATGGTGTTCTGTGGAAAAACTGGGTGGGCCTAAATTGATGTTGTGCAATCAGTGCAGAAAGTTTTTCTGACCTGCAGATGATTAAACTGTGTGTAGATGAGCAGCATGTGTTATCATCCGAACAGAAACTAGGCTGTGTTTACATGAAAAGCTGTAATTCAGTATTTACCATATGAAGCAAAGTTTTCTGTGAACAAACAGTTTCTGCAGGACTTTGCAGTGACAGGCAGATTGTTCTGCTTCTTTTCACATCATGTGTAAAAGAAGAGCTCGATCTCTCTCAGGAGAGTTGCTGTTGCAGATGAGGCACTTCTGCACCTGTACACTTTTTAAAAATTGTTTGCTTTCAGTTTTGTTCTGTTTTTATTACTCTCCGTCAAGCCTATTTAGTTTACCTAATTCTAATTCTCAGAGTTAAAATCATAAAGTGAAATCTGTTTGCCTCGCTTCTGTTTCTGACAATCTGAGCTGAGCCTTCATCAGCTGACCTTTAACTGCCCACATTTGGATTCACATTCACTTCAAAACTACTTTATTACAGTAATCTCAAAGGGAAATTAAATAAACATTCAGAACATGTGAATAAAAAAAATTGATAATAAAGATTTTTGATGTTTTCATGTTTCTTTTCTGTTTCAAATGTTTGATGTTCACTAGATGGAAACTATTGTACAAAGTAAAGCTTTTGGCCGGACAAGGACCTTTGACCTTTGGCAACATGATGGTTTCGCACTGTTTCTTCACAGCAAGAAGGTCGTGGGTTCAATCCCCATCTTGGACATGGGATCTTTCTGTGTGGATTTTACGTGTTCTCCTCATGTTTGTGTGGATTTTCTCCTCCGGGTGCTCTGGTTTCCTCCCACCATCTGAAAACATGTACGTTAGGCTGCCTTCAGGCCCAGGCCTCCCTTGCAAAAGAGATCTAGGATCTCAATGGGATCTGGTGAAATAAAGGTTGATAAATAAATACTAAATAAATCAACTAAGCAGCTGTTTCAGGTTTGTGGTGGCGCTAGGGGTGTTCGATGGCTCAAATATAATATCGTCATCAACAAAAAAGGTTGAATCATGTCATCTGGACTTCGTTTTTTTGTTAAAAAGAAACGTTTCGCCCCTCATCCAAGAGGCTTCGTCAGTCTGAGGCCTAGCCATCTGGTATTACCCAGAAGCCACCCTGACTCTTGTGTTTCAAGCCTGCCTCAGATACCCCTGAAGTCTGGCCTTTTCACTAATGGTTTCAAAAACACAAAGTTTGTTTTCTCAGTCATCCAGGTATTTAACAACAAAAAAGGTTGAATCATGTCATCTGGACTTCGTTTTTTTTGTTAAAAACAACAAAACGAAGTCCAGATGACATGATTCAACCTTTTTTGTTGTTATATACCTGGATGACTGAGAAAACAAACTTTGTATAATATCGTCATATTTCAGAGCATTCTGCCGATAACGATAAGTTTCGTGATATAACACAAAAACCCAGAAATCATAGTTATTCATTTGACAAAATTATCTTAACATGTTGCTTTGCAGTATTATATATATAAAAAAACAAAACAACAAGTGTTAATTTTACTGAAATTACTTTTAGTATTCAGTTTCCAAGTATAAAAATAAAAAAGAATAAAAAATGATCCTTCTGTTATTTCGATTGAAAAGTCTGCACAAAATATAGATCAACAAAATCCACCATAAAATCTAATGTGCAGGTGCAGTTTCCCAAAATAACTGAATAAAATGAAGCTTAAGCTCTGTTGAGCATAAATATAACCTACAGCAAAATATTCGATTCAAGTCAAAAATACTTTATTAATCCCAACGAGAAATTATTTGTTGTTGTAGCTCGTTATCATTTCATTAAGAGCTGTTACAGATACTGATGGCTGTAGGCAGGACGGATCTCTTGTAAAGGTCCATCCAAGTTCAGTTTGGTAGGCGGGGTGCTCAGTTCTGTTGACAGGGTGGGGCACCTCGCTTGTATGATGGTAGGTGAAACTGCCCTTTTCTTGGTCCATGCATGGACTGTGAAACTCAAGAGACACAGCTGAGCTGAGCGTGTTTGTACCGGCAGTTTAGAGCGAGGGAGACGCAGCCGAGCTGCGCCCGTACCTGCGCCCAGAGCAGGGTGGGGAGAGAGAGAAAAAAGCCGAGCTGCATTTGTACCGGCTGCTTAGAAGTGTGTGGAGAGACAGCTGAGCCGCACATTGTTTGTTTTTAGCTTTTTAGCTAGCTAGCATTGCACACAACTAATTAGTGTTACATCAGTACTGACAGGTGGGGGTGCGCAGTTCGGTTCAGTCGTTCAACGCGTTCGGTTAGCGAGGCGGGGCGCCCCACTGATATAATGGTAGGGGGAACCCTGACGTATAACGTCAGGAAATTAGCATATCATGATATCATTTATTTTCCCGGGCAAACTTTTTTTACCGATATTATCGTGAACGATATGATTTGGCCCAGCCCTAGGTGGCACACAGTAAAACTGACCAGCACCTTTCTAAAAATCATGTTTTTAGATATTCAGTAACCAAACAGTCTTTTTCTGAAGAAGAGCTCTTTTTGTTTTCCAACTTATAGTTTTTAGTTTTGTTTTTTCTCTTTATTCCTTGTCAGGACAACAAGCACTGATTTCCATCCACTGTGGCACATCTCTGCTGCCACCTTCTGACAGCACGCAGAAACTTTATTCATTTTAACTGTGACAACAGGAAAATATCTGAGCTAATCTGTTATTTTAAGGTCTTTTCAAAGATGCCTTCAGAAAATATACACTTAGAATATTTTAGGATTGTTATTATTTAAGCAAATAAAAGGCTTGCTCGCATTTGATGATATAAAAACAAAGGTCTTCCACCTGAAGGCCATCACTGTAAAGGTTTTCTGTTTCAGGTTTTGTTGTTAAAACTGTGCAGAATTTATTTTCCTCCTTACAATGTTTTTTATTTAGTAAGGAGGTAGTAGAAGCAGTAAGATTTTGTCTCTGGTGTCCTGAATGATGATGAACACGATGCCTTCTCCATCGTTTCTTTGCCCCTTTTGAACTCCACGTTGAGTTATTTTTGACTCTGCTCTCGGCAGCACGTCAAGCTGTGAAAAACGCACCAAAGCGCCTCCCCAGTGTAACTGCACGCTCTCACCTCGGGGCCAGCCCCCCTAACCTGGACTCTCAGGCCGACTCTTTGGTCTTCACTCCTCCTATGGATACAGAAGGAGTCGCCTCTGATGAGACCACCATCCACTCAATTGTAAGAACATTCAGACGTGTTGGCTCCCTTGAGACAGATAAAAACAAATCAAATGAGGTTTTATTTATTATTAAAAACAATTGCATTCTTGTGTTTTAAAATTATTAATATTAAAGCTCTTCTGTTGGTTTCCTCTTTGTCAGGCTCAGGGGGTCGGGGTGTTCCTGCCGGCAGCGGACCCTCTAGGTTCAGGGCCCAAAGATGGAGGCCAGGCGGCTCTGGTTGATGACTCGCCACAGAAGAGGATCCTAACTCAGAAAACCACTCCGCCACCTTCACCTCTTTTATCAGAACTTCTAAAGAAAGGAAACCTGATCTCAGCCAGTCCCCGCCTGGTAAGAAACGAGAGCTTGAATTATGATTGTTTGGACTTCTCAAAATTACAGGAACTTTAGCATCACAGACAACAACAATCAAAAAGCTTTTATTATGAAGTTTGTCTCGCTGTCATTGACTTATTGGATCAGACGCTTGTTTGCATTCAGGTTGCAGATGGAGACATCACAGGAAGTTTAACCAACGGTGTTCAGACTGCCACTGCAGCTACCGTCTTACCATCAGGTCACAGCCTCATCACAGGTTAGCACACTCTAATGTTTATAAAAGCAGATGTGTAAATACTTGACATTTTGAAATGGTTATTTATAATTGGTGCCTATTTTATGTCAAAGAATCGTTGCATTCTTGGAGCTAGGTCAGGGCTATTCAACTTGCGGCCCGCAGGTGACTCATTTGTTGCATTTATGATTCAGTGCAACAAAATGAACAAATGTAGAAGGTAACAGATTATTGTAATACTTGGTTTATTTACATAATGACTAACTGCTGGATGTCCGGCCCCTGAGCTGCTGGCTTTCAGAAACTGCGGCCCCTGAGCAGTTTAGTTGAATAGCATTGGTTCAGGTGTTTCAGAAACTTCAATGTGGGTGGCTGTGGTGCAGTGGTAGGCCAACCAACTTGGGACCAGAAAGTTGCAAGTTTGACTCCTGGTCATGCCCATGTGTCATGTGTCCTTGAGCAAGACACCTGTTTACTAACTGCTCCTGCACTTCTATAGCTGCCCGCTGCTCCACTTGGGTGTATCTCATGTGTGATGGGTTAAATGCAGAGCACAAACTGTATGGGAACATAAGATGATGACAATACAAAGCACTTTCAATAAAATATACTATAAACATTTTATTAAAAAGTCAAATACAACTGAATGTTTATAACAGTAAATGTTTTCTATTGATCCCAGATTTCTTTAAAACTGTCTTCTTTTAATTCCCCATCATCACTGAGGTCTTTGTTTTTTATCAGTTTTATATGTAAAATGGTAAATGGACTGTATTATATAACACCTTTCTATCTAATCAAGACACTCGGTTCTTTACAACACAATCTGTGCCTCATTTACCTCCAAAACACACTGCCTTTTATAGTCTCACTAGTGCATCTCAGTGGCGACTACAAAATGGCAAAATTTGTGGTCACATACGCCGAGTCGAGCTTACAACTTCTCTGAGATCTATTCTTTCCCGCCAGCGAGATTCATGAGCCACAAATAGCCTGCGATTCTCAGCAAGAATCATGTCCAGCTTATGGTTCAACTCGTACAACATTTGAATCTGAGTCTTGACAGAACGGCATATTCCTTCACAGGCCGGGCAGCTTTACAATGGTCAGAACAGCTGCCGATGTTATCCGAATTTGGCGATATGCCAGGTAACCACCTACTCCAAAAAGAAGAAATCTTGTTATCATAAATCCAATTATGTACACATCTTCACCGTCCTTGACAGACAATATGGACAGACACACGATCTTCCACTTCCCCAGGAATCCATCGTGTATCCGGCTGCCAGTGTCGCGTCGGGGCAGGAGGGCTCTCCTTCGCCCTGTCTTGTTGAGAAAATTTGATCAATTGCATTGAGAGACCATCTGACCAGATCTATAATTTACAATTCTGAAGAAATGTAAAGAAAGGCTCTAAAAATATTCACAGGACAAAGAGCAGAGCAGGGAAAGGAGTGGGAGGGAAAAGCGTCCGCCTTCGCCGAGAGCAAGAAGGGCCTGTCTCAGGCTTTGATGTGGTTTTACGAATCATCACTAAAGAAAACTAAAGGATGCACAATATAAAATTGTGTTAATCTACTTGTTGAGGAGGAGGCAGGTCCGACCGGCCGGTTTAAGAGGTTAAAAAAAAGCCACGTTAAGCTCAGATGGACAGCTGTCACTGGCCGTGCATGTGTGCGGCTGCGCGTCCGCTGACCCGCTGGTTGAAATGGACTTGCGACCAGTCCAGGGTGTACCCTGCCCCTCGCACAGTGATTGCTGGACATGATGAGCTTAACGCGACTCGTTTTACTTCTTTAAACCGGACCTGCCTCCTCCTCTACAAGTAAAGCACGTCTAATCCCCAAAATGTCCCCCGGGCGCTTTCAATAGCTGCCCACTGCACCACCTGGTGGTGGATGGGTTAAATGCAGAGACTAATTTCGCCATTGTATGGAAACATACAGTGCTGACATTGTGATGACATTATTATTATTATTATTATTATTAACACAATTTTATATTGTGCATTTTTATTTAGTTTTATTTGTGCTGTATGATTCGTAAAACGGCATCAAAGCCCGAGACCGTCCCGGCCCGCACATTAAGCGCGTTATTATGGACCAGCCCACTCTGAATCTAGGTCGGGCTCTGGGTTGACAGCTCTAAAATACGCAGCGAGTTAACATCATATCTGGAAGATGTCCGTAAATTTCAGCTACTGTATTTTCCGCCGTACGCGTCGCACCGCCATATAATTGGGTGGCTGTGGCTGAGTGGTTAGAGCAGTTGTCCTCCAATGCGAGAGTTGGGGGTTCGAATCCACCAGCAGTCACATGTCAAAGTGTCCCTGGGCAAGACACTGAACCCCTCATAGCCTCTTGATGTGTGTTCCATCAGTGTATGAATGTGATCTAAAGCACTGATTAGTCTCTTTAGAATGATTTGTTCAATTAGCTTTGTAGAGATCTAGTAGCGTGTTGTATGAATGGGTAAATGAGGCACAGATTGTAGTGTAAAGAGCTTTGAGTATCTTGAAATAAGATAGAAAGGCACTATATAAGTACAGTCCATTTACCATTTACTATTTATAAGTCACATCAGTCCAAATACGTCCAATAAAGTGGAAAAATCCATAAATAAGTTGCTTCGCCGTATATGTCTCATCTATTATGCATCATCGCTGACGTGTCGCGTTTTGTTATGCGTCACCGCTGACAACCCGGAAATGTGGGCCGGTGTTGTGCCAAAAACCGATGGGCCACCAAATGGCGGCCGCGGGATCATGCACGGGACAACTTTAACAAGAATTTAACAAGATTAACACTTAAAAACATTGGTTACATACTGTAATCCCAGATTCTATGAGTATAGACGCAGCCCTTTAAGGCTATCGCTTGTGGGTTTATCCCTTCGCGCAGCACTGAAAACTTTAGTCCACGCCCACCGGCTGTGGGGGCCCCACCCCCGGTCCGTATAAACTACGGTGAGACCGGGCAGTCGGCTCCCAAATAGCTTATTTCTTCAGCCATTTAGGAACCAGTGAGGCCCAGAGCTTAAAGGGCTGCGCCTCTACTCTACTACTCTACTGGGGTTACAGTACGTAACCAATGTTCTATTTTGTATAGGCTTTGACCTTTAAGGCTATCGCTAGTGGGTTAAAGGTGAAGCAGGATGTAGTCTATACCACACTGGGTCTGTTCAGACACAGACATGAAGCACCTGCTTGCACAAAAAAAACATTTCATCACTCAGCCTTCTGTGTGCATAATTACGCGTTCCATGCGCAGGAGCGTCCTGGAGAAAAGAATCTCTGATGGGGAAAAGAAGGCTGAAAAAGCAGACCTGCTGCTGTGAATAGGAACAACAGAGGTTACGAATTGTAACAACGTGACTAGGGATGCACCGATCCACTTTTTTTACTTCTGATCCCGATACCTAGGTCTGAGTATCGGCCGATACCGATCCAGTTCCGATATCATGATCATCATTGATTTTATATGAGGCTGTAATAATCTCCTCTCAAGTACAGTTTGTACAAATATATGCATGCATGTCCAAAAAGGCAACTTGAGGTAAGTTTTATTAATGTTGGATAAGTTTTAAAGTTAGAATTAAATTCTGTTAACACAAAACATGTTTCTTTTTATTCCTAGTTTTAAAGTGGATATTAAAGTGATTAATTTAAGTGATTGTTTAAAGTTGTTTTATATTTTGTAAGGGGCAGATATAAGAATTTTTTTCTTCTTTCTGCACTCTTTTCATTCAATGTTTTCTTTTTGATGATTTTTTTTTTTAATTTTGTTTCATTTAAATGAATGAATAAATAAATTAAATAAAATGTTAAATGGCTTCAAACATCTGCTAAGTTCATGGCATAAACCAACAGACATGTTTCTGTTTTTAGTATTTTACATCACTTTATAATGTAGCTGTTTGTTTTTAATATATATAATTTTCAAATCATGTTTTTTATGATTGTCTATTGTTGTACTGATAAATATCTCCTGGAGGGTAAACTATATCTTGACTGCAAGTATCAAGCTGAGAAATCCTTTGTTTTCTACAACTGATAGTGGTTGTCAATAATTATGATGAAGTTTAGCAACTTCTCTGTAAACATTTGAGCTCCATGGTTTCAGTGATGTCTTCTTCTTGTTCAATCCGAAGCAGGCAGCCTGATTTGGAGCAGCCACGCTCAGTCTGTTCCTCCTCGGAGACGGGCAGACTGAGCGGGGCAGAGTGGACACGGCTGGCCGGTGTCAAGTTGCCTCTTTCGGTTTGACCAAAGATCAGCGCCCCGCTGAAGCCACGGAGCTCGAATGTCCATCGTAAATGTAACTTTACCGCAGTTTAATGTGGCGCTATGGCTCTGCAGACAGTGCACGTTGCTGTCTTGTTTTGTGGTGTTTAGTGTAAAATACTTCCACACAGCGGACATGTTTAGGTGAAAAGTTGTTTAGCTGTTAGCCACAGTGCTGCTAATTCAGCCCTCACGTTGTAGCTGGCTGCAAACTATGAACTGGATTTCCTGAATGTGAGGCGGGTCTTATTACTCTGGGCTCATGAGACACGCCGCCGTTCAGGAAATCCATTCCATAGTAGTACGGCTGAGCTGCCGTTAGCTTGAATTCTGAGACATGGGGGGGAAGAGAGCGGATAAATTCCTCACTCTCTTTGCTGACGTCACAGCTAACAGCAGGGCTGTTTTAAGTGACAGAAATTTAAGTGAAACCTGATCTAAAGGCTCAAGAGGAGCTTTGATCAGAGCGCGCAGGACCATCGTTGGATCCCACTTTGGAGCTAGTGAATGTGACACAGGTCTGTCTCCGTACATCTTTCAGAAAACACTTAATCAGCGGGTGGTTAAAAACTGTTCTGTCACCGAAACCCTCATGACAGGAAGAAATAGCTGCAGCATAAGTTTTATTTTTGCTGAACGCTAAATTTCTGTCCATCAGCTGCTGCAGAAATGACAGCACGCCACTTAGTGAACATGAGATGGCCTCTACACCTTTCTCTGTGCACCAGCGCTGAAAAGCTGTCCACTTTGATGTGTACAGCGCTGTGGTGGAAGCAGCTCATGCGCTTTGGATCTTGCGCTCCATATCCTGTGGGAGTCCCATCTTTTCTAAGTGGATCCGTTCAGCGGCCAGACCCAGAGGTGCTGGCCTATTTCCGGGTAACTCCTGATCGCTTCTCCCCCCTGGAGGAGAGCGTCCTCCCTCCACAGCAGTTTCCACGGCCGACCCGATATCAGACGCTGCAGATTCGGGAACCACGGGGCGCTTATGCGCTCGGGAGCTACGAGGATGACTGACAGTTCTTCCTCCCGGACCCGGTTCAGAATCTGTGATATTAAAAGGACTGGTGGGAACACGTAAAGGAGCATTTTTGGCCATGGACTGTGAGCGAAGGCGTCCACTCCTAACGGTGGGTCGTCCCGTGGGCTCAGTGAGAACCATAATTGACACTGGGCGTTCTCCCGTGTGGCGAACAGATCCACTGCTGCTTGGCTGAAACTGCTCCAAATCGCAAGATCAGCTCGGGATGGAGACTCCAGTCTCCGTGGCGGGGACCGCCTCTCGACATGATGTCCGCTCCCCTGTTCAGGATGCTGGGAATGTACACTGCTCTGATGGAGAGCGGGTTTTTGTGTGCCTAACACAGCAGCTGTCTCGCGATGCATAACAGTTCGGCTGAGTGCACGCCTCCCTGACGGTTTATGTAAGCTGCCGTCACTTTGTTGTCTGTGTGAATCAGAACATGCCGATTCCGCAGCAGGGGAGCAAAATGCTGAGTCACATTCCAAACAGTGAGACATACTAGAAAATTAATATGAAGCGACATGTGGTCTGGCCACTGTGCTCCCAATGCCTGGGACAGACAAGTCCCTCCCCAGCCTGAAAGGGATGCGTCTGGGAAAACAGACGTGTGACTTAGGCCTGCTGATGGGAACTCCCTCTGACAGAATGAGGGGGTTCTCCCAGTGATTCAGATCAGTTCTCACAGAGGGGGGCACAGAGATCATCCGCCTCTTCTGACGCATTGGATCTATGCGCAGGTGTGCGAACCATCTCTAAAGGCATCTCATGTGAAGCAGGCCCAGCGGAACCACGGCGTGGGCTGATGACATCATTCCCAGGAGTCGCATGACCGAGAGAGCTGTTACTACACTGCTGGGTTTGACGCGGCAGAGCTGAGCTGACAGAGCTTGGGCTCTCGGGAGATTCTCCTGGGGGGGACACAAGGGGGGGCTCCGCCAGAAAGGGCTGCATAAGCGCCTCTGTGCTGAGCTCAGGCTGTGGGCTCATGTTGGAGATGAGGTGAGCCGATGTGCACTGGGAGGAGGCATGAGCGCTTTTTGAATGAGACGCCATTTGGGTGGAGGCTGCAACTGTCATGGAGAAACACGTTTACTCCCACTGCGGTCAGAAACGTCAGAAAATAAAACGGGCTCTGGCTGAGAGCAAGGGTTTTTACCAGACTCTGTCTGCTGAAAAACATAATTTTAGCTGATGTGGCAGACGAGTGTTTTGTGCGATTTACCGAGCTTCTGTGCCTTTTAAAACGCTGTTTAGAGGTTACCAGCTTGTTCTGTGTGGGGAATGTGTGAAGAGAGGCAGCTGAGATCATTCAATCCGACAGTCAGGCTGGAATCAGACAAAACTTTACTCTCTGAATGATGTTTTTGTTTTATTGTAAAACGTAAATCATTAGAAACGCACACATTTCCCCCAAGGAGTCATTTCTTGTGCTGCCTCCTCCGTGGGCCCTGCGGCTGATTGGTCCAGGGCGGAGCTTGCTGACGGCCTCTGGGGAAGCGCTGGGTCGCTGATTGGCATGCAGAGAAGGTCTGTTCTCTGGGGGGGGGGGGGGGGGGCAGCGGGTGGCAGAGGAGCGAGTCACTGGCCACGGCGATCCCTTCAGCCGGAGGGGCGGGTGGAGGGCTGCGGCTTTACCAGGTAACGTACCATCTCCGACACCTCCTTGGACTTCTGGGACTTCTCCAGCATGGCCTTGAAGTTGGCCCCGAACAGCGCATCTGGAGTGATGGGACCCTCCAGTAGGTCCCTCTGCAGGCTCTCTGGCATGGATGCAGAGAGGCAGAGCCAGGTGGACCTCTGGATCATGGTCATCCAGGCTGCGATGCAGGACAGGCAGACCGCAGAGGTGGCACACATGTTTAAAATGACATCAGCAGCCTTACAAAGAGAGCTCTTTGTCTCCTCCGGCAGGTCTGTGTCCTCCAGCCTCTTTGAGATGCTATAGGCCAGAAGGGCGATGTTGTTGTTCGCCGTGGCCGCCTGGAATGAGCACTTGTGAGCTCGATTGGAGAGCTTAGTCACAGTCTGATCATGTTTCCCTGTAGGGACAGGTTGTTGGTCCAACCTGGAAACTTTTGCCCCAAGCGCCTCCGCCAGGCTTGGCTCCAGGGGGGGAAACCGAGAGAATGCTCCGCTTGGTAAAACCCTCCACTTTGGTGATGGAAGCGAAGGTGGAGATGGGCGCCTTCAGCTTGCCGGACCCGGCTGCAGCCTCGTTCCAGTAGGACGTCACTGCTGGAAAACGAGGCCAGATGGGGTCAAGGAGGCGACCAAACCTTCCCATCAGATCATCCGATCATGGCGTGGGGAGGGACGGAAAGTCCCTCCCTTTGTGTCAGCCGCCTCCTGGATTATGTCGGGCAGCTCCGAGAGGAGGGCACCGACGGCTGGGAGCTGTGTGTTCGCCGATGCGGGAAGACCCGGGGGGGATGAGCATCCGCTCGGCCCTTCCGACACTACGCTTTCCAGGAGGGAAGGAGCAGTGGGGCTGCTGCTAACATTGCCTTTTTCGGAAAAATCATTTGACTCTGTGTCAAAAAAGGCGATGGCGTCGTCCAGCGAGCAGTCCCCTTCCACGGAAAAACACTCCTCGGCGTTAGCCTTGAACAAGGCTGCTCGTCTCTGCTTCTTCTCGAGAGGGAGGAGGTCACAGGGATGGCAAGAGAAGGCGAGGTCGGCGTGGCGGGGACCCAGGCATCCTTTGCAGATGTTGTGCCGGTCGAAACTCATGATGTAGCCGGTCTGGCAGGATTGGCACAGGCGGATGGTGCTGGTGCTGGACATCTTCTTCTTCTTGTTATGCAGTGCTGGTTGGCTGAAGAAAAAAATGGGTGCCAATTGCCCGGTCTTACCGTAATTTATACGGACTGGGGTTGGGGCCCACACAGCCAGTGGGTGCGGACTAAAGTTTTCAGTGCTGCTCGTGAAGGGATAAACCCACTAGCAATAGCCTTAAAGGATGAAGCCTATACAAAATAGAACAATTTTTTGTTTGCTCTAAATTATATTAAAAAGTGTGAATCAATCTAACGTTTGCTAAATAAATGTACTTTACTGGTCAAATCAGCTGCATTTAAAAAATAGTTCGCTGCCTCGGTGCTCCATGAATGCTCAGAGGAAGAGCGAAGGAAGGAGGAATGTAGTTCGTTTCTCCAAAAATTAACAAGAACTGCACCTAAGCAATTATTATTTTTTGCTCGAAATTATAGCAAAGGTGTGTGTCAGTCTTAACATTTGCTTAATGTACTTTAATGGTCAAATTAGCTGCATTTTGCCAGGGCAGTACAGCTGGTTTGACAGTCAGTCCAAACAGCAAGCAAAACCAAGGTGGGGAGACTGGCAAGCCGATTGTGTCATTAATAGCTGGTGAAGATTCTCAATCATCCAGGACATGGTAAATTCAAAAAGGTTCAAGGAAAAAAGTATAAAGTATAATAAATAAAGTCCAGTTGTTTTTGTCTTTGAACTTTTTTGAATTTGTCATTTTAGCCACGTTTTCCTATTACATGATACAACAGCCAACAACATGTCATGCCACTATTACTACTCTGCTGCCATCAAGTGGCTGAAAGTGGTACTGCTCTTTTTTTTTTCAATCATAATGAATGAAAACTGTCATATCACAGCCAAAAAATGGTTTATAAATATGGGGAAACAATCCATAAATATGTCACTTTGGCCTATAAGTCGCATGGCATGTAAATTATGCAAAAAACTGCAACTTCTACAAAGAAAAATACGGTAAATTTCAGGCTTTGGTTATCCCGTGCAAATGCGCCACCTAAAAAGCAAACGGTGGGGAGTAATTTATTTATTACATGTGGTCCCTAGGTAAAACTAATCCCATGTGAATAGGGCTTTGTTCTACAGATTGTGACTGATGCTGAAATGAGACCCAGATTTTATATAAAGTATCAACTATTGTCTTACAGTTTAAACTATTATGACTTCATCCATGATTGATATTTATTCACTCTTTAGTCGTCTTGTATAAAGCTGTCTCATGTTTTGTTTGTTTCTTTTTTTCACATCTGCATGTGTGAAGAGGCTGAAGCAGAAGCTGCAGTGAAGGTGGAGCTCGCTGAGGAGGCAGGGCTAGTAGAAGAAGACCTGGTGGCCGTGTCTTACATGGGGGATGAGTTGGATCTGGAGACGGTGGGAGACATCATTGCCATCATAGAGGACAAGGTACGCACTGTGGAGACTTCACCTCAGACAGCTTCCTTTACCATCAAAAATTCATCATTTCATCACTTAGATCAGCTAAAATATCTACAATAAGTTTCCAAGAGCCCAGAGAGTTCAGATTAAGTCTGGGATGTAGGTGGAGAACAAATCAAGTCTACTTACTGTTTGTTTTTTATGTTTGCCGTAAAAAAAAACCTTACAATAAACATATTTATTACAAAATGATCACTTTTTCATGAATAGAAGCAATGCCACAAATACTGCTCTTAAGCAAGCATCTAATTACAGCAAAAACATGTGAGCCTGTTGTACTTTCTTATTTCTCCTCTTGCATTTTCTATTTTGCTGCAAACAAACAAACTGTAGTCCACACAGTTCAGATGACAAAATTAAATGTCAACATATTAGCACTAAAAAATAAGCATGTCACATCTGTTTACAAGGAAGGAATCAACAAAGTCTGGTGATGCATCAGCTTTTTAAAGGACCTGGGGAGAAGAATAACCTTTCTTACTTAAAATTAAGTCCAAGGTGTTACTCAAAGTCACATGGTAGGGCTAACAATAGAACCAAAGTGTCTACTTACACCTGAATGCAAAGAAGGTTTGCAGTAGTTAAGAACTGGAACTAGTTCTTGCTCCAGTTAAAAACTAGTTTGTTTTCCCACAGAATCACCTTTATAAATGTCTCTTTCAATATATGTTTGGTGCATTCTCAGTTTATGCAGAGGATCAGAGCACAGTAGTCCCTCGTTTATTGCAGGGATTATGTTCTGGACCCCACCCACCCCCACCCCAGCAATAAGTGAAAATCTGTGAAGTAACGACGTTATATTTATTTTAGTATTTTATGGCTTTAGAAACTCTTCACACACTTTTGCAATATTCTAAGCTTATAAACCTACATCATTTTAACAACATTCTTATATGTAGCTACTAAATTTTATTCACCAACTCTGCAGCACAGCAGCGGCTCGGTTCTTCTCCGACTTGGTTCCGTCTCAGCGGACCTACCCTGCCGGTTCTGGTCAGCTCTCTGGCTTGGGGTAGTTGCGGTGGGCTCCAGAGAGTAGTGTTGTAGTCGAGACCACCTAACCCGAGACCAAGTCAAGACCAAGACCATAGTGTACCGAGACAAGACCAAGACTTTTAGGGTCTGAGACCAAGTCGAGACCAAGACCTCAAATAAAATAAATAAAATATAAAATATAAAATTTTATTATAAAATATTTTTTATAAAAGTTACATACTGCAACTTTGTTTGCTTTTGAATGAATTTATCAGCTTTTATAAATTTTCAAAGCTACATAACAAAGAAATCAGACATTCAGTGGCCTAACTGCATGTGATTCAACAATAAAATGACACAAATGTCAAATTGGAAGCAGTTTCTTCACATGCCAAGCCTTAAAAAACTGCAGCGGCAAAACACTCTTCATAAGTCCAAACTCAAGACGCAAGGATAACCATATAGCTGCACAGTGGTTTCAGTAAAGTAGTAGATATACACCTAAAAAAGTTACATAAATGGATATTAGTTACAATTATACTCTTTGTTCTTCTTTAAATAGCCAAATTTTATAATGTAACTGATGGCAGACATCTTCTCCTGCGCCCAGACAATCACTTCTCACCAGACAGAGTCGAGGTTTTCCAGCCCAAAAATCTGTTAAAAACCGCCACATCACACAAAAATCCACCCAATCAATATATTGTTACAGTATATTGGGGCGGCTGTGGCTGAGTAGTTATAGCTGTCATCCTCCAATGCGAGAGTTGGGGGTTCGAATCCACCAGCAGTCACATGCCGAAGTGTCCCTAGGCAAGACACTGAACCCCACATAGCCTCTGATGTGTGTCCCATCGGTGTATGAATGTGATCTAAAGCACTGATTAGTCTCATTAGAATGATTTGTTCATTTAGCTTTGTAGAGATCTAGTATAGAGCTGTATGAATGGGTAAATGAGGCACAGATTGTTGTAAAGAGCTTTGAGTATCTTGAAATAAGATAGAAAAGCGCTATATAAATACAGTCCATTTACCATTTATATTTACTGTTTGAACATGAACGCACATCAGTACAAGCCAAGGTAATTTAACAATATGTAACAAAATGCAACAATCCAACAAAAATCTTCCCAGAGCTCCCAGCAAAATCAGAATGAAAACCTCCCAATTGACAGTAAACCACCCAATCTGGCAACACTGGCGAGTGACGGGTGCGAGTGAAAGGGGGTGGGCGTGACAGCCGTAATAAAAACATGTATTTAGCAATGCGTCACATTATCGTTTGGATTTGATTCAGTACCTTTTGAATCCAATAAAAACAAAGATGTTAACAAATAAACTGGACAATATCTGGCAATTTAGTGATATTTCCCCAACTGTGGTCTTGACTAGTCTTGAAATAAAATTCCGAGTCCTCATTGTCCAAGACAAGACCGAGACCAAATTGGGTTGAGTCCTAAACGAGACTAAGACCATTAAAAAGTGGTCTTGAGACCGGTCTCAAGACCAAGACCGGTCTCGAGTACAACACTACCAGAGAGAGGCCGGACCAATGGCGGCGCATCCCCCACTTAGAAGTCCTTGTGGGCCGGTTAGCTGCTCTCGGGTTCGCCGATGGGTCCGGAGGTCCAGTTCTGGGCCGGTTATGTGCAGCCCTTGAGTACCAAAGTGCATTTTAGGGGGAGGCCGGACCTTTGGGACGCGCGGGACCAGTGGTCTGATTGAGTGGTCCGATAGAGATGACAAAGTCCCGGTGGGCTCCGGAGCGGCTACGGTGGCACGCGTCCTCACTTGGAAGTCTTTGTGGGCCAGCTACCAGCTCTCGGGTTCACCAATGAGTCTGGGGGTCTGGTTTCGCTCCGGTTAGTGAGTTCTGTGTGGCTCTCTGCGTCCGTTGGGTACTGAAGTCACTGTAAAGGACCAACATTTTCAGATCAGCTCTAGTATTTTAGCAGAAGGCAATGAGGCTTCTGGGCGGGGCACTGTTGGCGGCTGGGAAATGTAGTCCTTATGAGTGGTGATAAAGTGAAGGCTTATTGAGAAAAAACTACAAAATGGTGGTGCCTGTCCAAAGTATTTTATTTTTGTGAACTTTTTACTGTACAGTACTGTACCCAGTACTGTCCCAATCACGTGAGTAATATTGAAGTTGACAATTGTGTGCCCTGTACAATTTTTATTTATTTTTTCCTCATGTTCAATCTTACTTTGAAAATCCGCAAAAGAGCAAGTCGGTGAAAGTCAAACCGCAAAGTAGCGAGGGATTGCTGTACAGGGACACAGACTATCAGCCCAGATTATGGTGTTGGTCTTGTTTTTCCCCAACAATCATATGTTCTTAAGTCATTAGTTTACAAACAGCGTTTGAACCAAGTCAGGGTGAGGCGGAGGGTTCTTTGCCTCGCCTCATGAGGTTTGGGTCGTGACCAGTAGGAGGCGATCCTGGACACAAGTTGTCATTTGTAGTGTGTCTGGGCTCAGCTTTAGAGATGTGAGAAGGTCTGTCATCTAGAGGGGACCTCCAAGTAGAGCTGCTGCTCGTCTTCATCAAAAGGAGTCAGTTGCGTGGTTCAGGCATCTGATTAGGATGCCCATTGGTAGGAGGCCCTGGGGAAGACCCAGAACTTGCTGGAGGGTTGTCCATCTTCTCTGGCCTGGGAACGCCTCCTCAGGATGAGCTGGAGTGTGTTGCTGTAGAAAGATGTCCGGTTTCTCTCCAAAACCTGTTGCCTTCCCGACCCAACTTGGGAAGGTGGGAGATAAAGAAGTTCAAAAGTGTAACCTAAATTCCAGCTAAGTTCTTATCTTGACATTGTAAAACTACACAAATTTATTTATGAACCTTGATTTAACCAGCAAACCCCACTGACATCACAGATCTCTTTAATAAGGGAGGCCTGGACCTGAAGGCAGACTAACATGCATGTTTTTGGTCTGTGGGAGGAAACTGGAGTACACGGAAAAAATCCACACAAGCACGAGAAGAACATGCAAACTTCACACAGAATGACCCCAGGTCCAACTGGGGATTGAACCCAGGGCCTTCTTGCTGTGAGGCCACAGTGCTAACCACTGAGCCATCGTGCTGCCAGTCATTATCTGAGGTGTAATAAATGTTCCATTTGTTTGTGTTGACTTAAACTAATACTTCAACCAGCCTACAGGGGGCGCTCATGCGGTTTCTGCGTCAACTTGTGTGTTACATTCCTTTATCTAGTTATTAATATAAGTTGTTGGTTGGTCCTCATGACTGCTGCGCAGTGAGACTCGCAGACCTTGTGACTCTGAGAGTCCTTGTAATCGTTTGATCCGAAACACGTCACGTCCGTGTTGAACGAATACACACAGCATGGTTCATATAAACAGAAATGAGTCAGCAGTGCTTGTTAACAGGGTTAGTGTTGTGAGTTCGTGGTTCACGGATCTCTCCTTCCTCAGGTTGACCCTGTGGAGGCTTTGGATGCAGCTGCTGTGGAAGCTGCGCTCTCCCTCTGTGAAGAGGCTGTTTCAGAAGGCCACACCCTTCCCGGCCCCTGGGAGACCCAAGAACTGAAGCCGTCAGACCCCACACCCATTGTCCTAGACTCTAACCCCACACAGGAACCCCAAGATGGGGCCACAGTGTTGGCCCCAACCTCTGAAAGCATGGAGACACAAAATCTGTTCGGTGCTAAAACAGAACAGATTAAAAGAAGCAGTGAGGGACCTGAGGTGACAGGAAGTGATGTAAACTCCTCTGTCGCCTCTGATGACGGTGCAACAGGAAGTGAGATTCCAGAGGGGGGAGCTGCCGTGAAGGAGGCTGCTGAAGCTACAGTAAAGAGTGAAGAAGAGGAGTGGGGCCAGCCTGAGTTTAACCCCCCCTGTCTTGGTGAGTGACACACAGTTCTGTGAGACACAGAAATTATTAGTTTTCTAACACTTTCTTTTTTCTCTGCACAGACTCTGAGGACAGCTGTGTGTCTGGGAAAGAGTCCAAGGTGACCCACCTAAACATACATATACCAGGCAACATTTGCTTTTAACTGCTGAATATTGTTCTGTTTGTGTTCTGCTGAACTCAGGAGGTGAAGGAGGAGGAAGCAGGGAGTGAAGCTGACCCAGAGGAAGGGATGGAGCTGAAGGAGGACTGTGTGGAGGGGGAGGGTTCCTATCTGTCTGAGGTGGAGCGAGCAGCCAGTGAGAGCGAAGATGGCTACGGCCCCCCTTCTCAGCGCTACACAGCTGATTCACTGGCCAGCAGCCCAGCCTCGTCCTCCCAGCTGTGAGTTTTCTGACAGAAACACTCGTCCAGTCAAACAGTTGGAGGAACGCCCACACACTGAATCACACCAAGACTTTATTTCTTTTGAACAAATCACTTCCTGCACGCATTAAGGAACATGCCTCTGTCAGTGTTTTCACTCACTGTTGACCTTCTCCAGATGATGACCTTTTGGCTTCTTACGTTTTGTTTTTTCTTCATCAGCTCCACGTGTGGAGAGGACCAGGAGGCAGTTCAGGCTCAGAAGATCTGGAAGAAAGCCATCATGCTGGTGTGGCGAGCTGCAGCCAACCACAGGTGGCGTTTCTTTAACCTCAAACATAAATAGACTTTTCTGATCAAAATGTTTAAGCATGACTTTCCTATGTCATGTTTAAAAATATTATTTTCTACTTGATGTTCAGCTCATCATCATCCATCTGTCTTCTCATATTGAGATTTTGTCTGGATGTGTTGAGCTGGATGTAATCCTGAATGTGTCTCACAGGTATGCCAGTGTCTTCCTGCAGCCTGTGTCAGATGACATTGCCCCCGGTTATCACAGCATTGTGCACAGGTCCGCGCACGCACACACACACACACACACACACACACACACACACACACACACACACACAGTAATGTGCAAAAGTTTGAAACCTGCACCACTATCTTTTTATTTTCCTTCCAAGCAGCCAGATGTTTTTGTAACTTTTAAAAAGAGTCATGATCTTTGAGATTTCTGGAGGGTTTCTTTAGATTTTTCCAGCCTTTTCTCAGGCTAGTCTTTAATCCTAATATTATGCAATTTATGTTTAAACAAATAAAGTTAGACAAGTTGAAAATAAAATATGAACATTATCTGAAAGATGTCAGTCAGTCAGAGAGATTTATTTGTCATAGACACCACATGTGGTACTTGTGGTGGAGCGAGATTACCGGTATGTACGCAGGGTCCCAGTTACATCCAACAATAAAATGTAAAAGAAAAACGGCAAAAAGATCCAAGATATGAACTAAGAAAAACATCAACTAAATAATGAGCACTAATGGCATAAAAGCATTACGTCAAGCAGCAGCACGAACATGAGTCTGTGTGAGCAGATGAGCACGCATGAACACAGCAACATGAAACAGATCAGCAGCAACATAAAACAGATCAGCAGCAACATAAAACAGATCAGCAGCAACATGAAACAGATCAGCAGCAACATGAAACAGATCAGCAGCAACATGATGTGATTTTCACAGTGATTTTCCTGGTTAGGGCAACACGGTGGCACAACTGGTAGAGCTGCTGCCTCTCAGCGAGCAGGTCGCTGGTTCACATCCCGGTCCGGGGGCCTTTCTGGGTGGAGTTTGCATGTTCTCTTCGTGCATGCGTGGGTTTTCTCCGGGTGCTCCAGTTTCCTTCCACAGACCAAAAACATGCATGTTAGGCTGATTGGTAACTCTAAATTGTCCCTAGGTGTGAGTGAGAAAGTGAATGGTTGTTTGTCTCGTTTGTCTCTATGTGGCCCTGTGATGGACTTGCGACCTGTCCAGGGTGTACCCCGCCCCTCGCACCGCGATTGCTGGACATGGGCACCGACGACCTCCGTGACCCAAAATGGAAGAAGCGGGTAAAAGATAATGGATGGATGGATTATTTTAGTTAGAGATTCATGAGTAACAGCCTCAGGGTAGAAGCTGTTCCTCAGTCTAGTGGTTCTACACTTAATGCTCCTCAACTTCCTTCCTGAGGGGAGCGGGGCAAAAAGTGTGTGCTGGGTGAGTGGGGTCCTTCATGATGCAGGTGGCCCTCTTCCTGCATCTGGAGGTGTAGATGTCTGTGATGGTGGGGAGACTGACTCCAACATCTTCTGTGCAGCCTTCACCACTCTCTGCAAAGCTTTTCTTTCTGCAGCTGTGCAGCCTCCATGCCACACATTGATGCTGGAGCACAGGATGCTCTCCACTGCACACCTGTAGAAGGAGGTGAGGACTGAGCTTCCAGACCAGCTCGTCTCAGCCGCCTGAGGAAGTAGAGTCTCTGATGAGCTTTCTTCATCAGGCTGGTGGTGTTGTTGCTCCAGCTGAGGTTGTTGTTCAGGTGCACACCCAAGTACTTGTAGCTGGAGACCACTTCCACTGCAGATCCTCTTATGTTCAGTGGGGTCTAGGTGTTTTTGTTCCTTCTGAAGTCCACAATCATCTCCTTTGTTTTCTTCACATTGATGTGAAGGTTATTCTCTCTGCACCAGCTCTCCAGGTGTTCCACCTCCTGCCTGTAGCTGGACTCATCATTGTTTGTGATGCATCCCACCACCGCTGTATCATCTGCAAACTTTACAATGTGACAGCCTGGATGGGTAGCTGCACAGTCATACGTGAGCAGAGTGAACAGGAGAGGGCTCAACACACATCCCTGAGGAGAGTCAGTGCTGAGGGTTATGGTGGAGGAGGAGAAGTTGTGGATCCTCACTAACTGTGGTCTTTTTGTTAAAAAGTCTAGTACTTTAGGCATTTTCAGAATCAGAACGCCCAGATGGACTCAAGGCTGAAGGAAAAAAATCTGTCTGCCTGAAGAAAAAAACAAGAATCAAGCTTATCCGAATCTGACTCCCGATGGCCTCGGAGACAGGCCGACTATCAAATTTCTCCTGGGACATGAGTACCCAAGGACAAAAGCTTCATCTATTTCCCCCCCCCCCCTCCCCCCGGGAGAACTTTCTGTGCAAGCTCATCAGAACTGCTGACTGAAACAACATCTCAGAAACTGTGGCTGATCTGAAAAAACGCTCATGGACAAATCTCAACACCTCGATGTCAAATGCAAATGTAATCTTGTTTTAATTGAGCTGCTGGTAGAGCTTGTTGATGTCTCAAATCGTGTCCTGATAGACAAGATGTGAAAGATCTTTTTTTGTAATACCACTATCTACCCTCATGTTTCTACCCCTGTTCCTATCTAAGATTATTATCTGATAAGGATAAAATGGCCGCGCTCTCCTGTAGTTGCAGTTTCGTGCACTCCGCCCATCTTTCGGACGACTGTACGTACATATTCGTGTTGTATCTCAGTGCAACTCCAATAAAGTTTATTTCTTTTATTCTGATTCTGAGGAGTTAAAGATGGCTGCCAGCACCTCGCGGAGCTGATCGGCACATTCTTTCAACACCTTCCTGTGGATGTTGTCTTTAAGAACACGGAAACAAGCTGACAAAGACCTGAACCAAGAGCTTCATTTGATAATCAGATTGTCAAGTTTTCAACTAGTAACTTCCTGAAACACATAGCTCGAGTTAAAATACTGTTTAATGTGGCAACCTTTGTTAAATTTGACTTTTTTTGCAGTTGCAGATAAAGACATGGGAACAAGTTGCGTCTCTGTGCCAGGCTGCTGTCTGTGCCTAAGACTTTATCTAAAATTAAAACTTTGCTCAGTTTATGTGTTGACACAAGGCTGGCTCATCCTTTGAGTTTAGGAGCTTTTTTATGCCTAAAAGATTTATAAATTAAAATTATATGACTTACGAAAAGAAACTATTGTGGTCAAAAAAGTGGCCAAATATCAGACAGAAAATGATTGAAACAGCCAGAATAAATAATAATAACAACCTTCAGAAAGTCTGGATGAGTTTTTGTGACACCTCCAGAATCTTTTGTAGAGCGTACATTAGTTACCAGAAAAGCTCATTTGAAAGTAAATCTACTCCCCCTGCTTCCACCTGTCCCACTCCAGACCGATGGACCTCTCAGCCTTAAAGAAGAACATCGAGTCCGGTGTGATCCGGACCACAGCGGAGTTCCAGCGTGACATCATGCTCATGTTTCAGAACGCCATCATGTACAACTCGTCGGACCACGACGTGTACCACATGGCGCTGGAGATGCAGCGGGACGTCCTAGAGCACGTGCAGCAGTTCCTGGCCACCCAGCTCATCATGCAGACCTCAGAGAGCGCCATCTCTGCCAAGAGCCTTCGTGGAAGGGAGGGAAACCGAAAGCCGGGGGAGCCGGCTGAGAAGGTGGGTTGAATGTAGCACGGGGTGGGATGGGGGGTGGGACTTGTGTTCAGACCTCATTTTTAAAAGTTAAACTCAGTGTTGAGATGAAAAAAAAAAAAGGAAATAAATGATCAATATTTGTATCAGTCTTTGTTGTCCCCCATCGCGGAGCGAAAAGGGGCAATTAGAAATATCCTCTGTTCGTATGTGTTGAGTGCAATAACTTGAAAATAAAGTGAGATACAGACTTCCATTTTTGAGTGTGGCTGCATGTAGGTGTAAGAAAGGTTCCTTTGAAAGTTTAGTTGCCATGTCAAAATCCAAGATGGCCACATATCTATATATATATATATATATATATATATATATATATA